CCACACCAGTTGGACAGGCTGGCCACACTTGTACTCTGCCTGACCCAGATCAGTAACTGGCTGTCCAGCAACTTTCTTGTCCACAATGCTAACAAGACAGAGACCCTGATCGCTGCACCCCCGGAACTTCAGCCAAAAATCGAGCAAGAAATTGCCTCTTTTTGCCCATCAGCCAAGGCCAACATTAGAAACCTGGGAGTTATTTTTGACCCAGCTTTAAGTTTAGACTCACACGTCAAAACCATCTCCCGCTCTTGTTTCTTCCAACTGAGAAACATTTCAAAAGTCCGTAAACTGGTTTCTACTGCAGATCTGTAAAAAATCATCCATGCCTTTGTGTCATCACGCTTAGACTACTGTAACGCTCTTTTTACTGGTCTCAGCAACACCTCCCTCTCACGCCTTCAAGCCATCCAAAATGCAGCAGCCAGACTCCTAACCAAATCCAGCAGACAAGCTCACATCACTCCGGGTTTACAGTCCCTCCACTGGCTCCCGGTAGAATATAGAATACAGTTTAAAGTTTTAGTCCTGACCTATAGAGCTCTCAACAACCAGGCTCCAAGCTACCTATCTGAGCTTTTATCCCCACACACCACCTCACGGAACCTTAGATCCACATCTGAAAACCTCCTGGCTGTTCCTCGAACCAGACTGAAAACCAAAGGGGACAGGGCCTTTCAGACTATTGCACCCAGACTTTGGAACAGTCTACCTTCAAATCTCCGTCTCTCTAACACTGTAGAGGTCTTTAAAAATCATCTAAAAACTCACCTTTTCATCCAGGCATTCCCTCCCTAAATGTTTCAGAATGATGGCTTTGTTCGGGTTCACACCTTCACTTTGTTTATACTCATGATTTTGTTTTCTACGTTTATCACTGCTATTGTTTTTCTGATGTCTTTATTGGTTAGAGGTATTTGCCCTGATCTTTATCATGTTGTACAGCGCTTTGTGATTTATGTCTGTGAAAGGCGCTACATAAATAAACTTTTACTTACTTACTTACTTATTTACTTACTTTTATGAGCAGAGCACTGATAATCCGCATGTTATGAGCGCTAAACGTTATTTTGCCGCTTCCGTGCGGAGCGGTAGAGAAACATTTCAAACACAGAACCGATTCCGGCTACCGAACCGAGCAGAATTCTGATGACGTCACACCGGTGCACGAAGGTGCGGATTCCAACCCACAGGAGAGGAGGGAGAGAGGAGGTAAACAGCGAGTTGAGGAACTGAACTGATGTCTTTGAGCAAAAATGTACCCCCCCACCCCCACCACGGTTTAGACGTGGCGCTCATGCAGGTGTCTCTTTCTGTTCCGACGCTGCTTCACGTAATATTTGTAATTTATTAAGCCTATAATTTATTTTTACTCAGTAACAGATATGATTTAAAATGTAGCGAATTACAATTCTTTTTAAAAAACTTACTCAAGTAAAAGTAAAAGTACAGCTTTTAAAAACGACTTAAAAAGTATAAATATACAAAAAAGCTACTCAATTACAGTAACGTGAGTAAATGTAATTCGTTACTTTCCACCTCTGCGTAAAAGTCAGTCACATATGATGTGGAGAGCCTGAAATGTGACCTCCTGAACAGAATTCCTTACAGAACCGGGTCACGCTGTGCAGGATTTCACGCTGTAATGCTGTCTGTCAACTAGTGCTGCGTCAGTTAGAGTCACTGTTAGCAGAATCACCGACTGACACAAAAACAACCCGAATTTTCTCCGAGCCTGACAGTAATAGTCATGTGGACCATTTCGTCGGCCAGGGCTTCGAGACATGTTCCGATTCGCCGCTGATTCTAACCTTAAATCCCGTTCCACATTTTGTGAACTTGACAAATCAGCCCGAAGGCAGTGCAGACCTAAGTGAACCACGTCTCTCAAACTTTGCATTTAGGTAGGGAATTGAGCTGCAGTATTTCTGCGGTCAGGTCTCTCTACGAGTCCAAGAGCTCTACAAGCGGTCAGCCCGCGCAGCAGCTAGTAGGCGCCGCATCGGTCAGACATGCACCGGGCTGACCGCGGGGGAGAACCGGGTGGAAGAATGGAACACAGAAGTGTCCCTCCAAGAGCTCCGCCATATTTCAACCCATTTTTATGTTAAATGCACTGGGTTTTACCCTTTTACCCATCGACATATGCCATATTAATTATTTTACCGTGTTTTACATCTAAATTTCATGGTTAAACAGTACATGCTACATGTTAAAATGATAGTTAGCTAGCTACTTCGATAAACTCAGCTAGTTTAAAGGCGGCAGTGACCTAAAATACATAAATATAATTTAACTTACCGAAAAAAATGAAGTGGAGACTCCTTGGACGCTCTATTAGTGCAATTAATGCCACAGCAAGTCATTTTGTCCAACAATTGCACAAATAATATCCAAACAAGAATACACACACACAGAGACTCAAAATCCCGGAGCAGTTTCCAGGCCAGGCCGAGGCTCTACTGAGGCCTTTCCACGGAGCTAGCTCTGTGGTCACGTGGGTCTGATGCTCATTAATTATACAGAATTTTAGGCTTTTAATACACTTAAACAGCAGAGTGAGAAAAACATTCACCCCCCTCAGAGTTGTCATGAGTGTAAACTAGATCATTTAAACCAAAAACATGTTCTGGTACCAGGCTGTAAACATGTTTATTTCTGCTGTGAAATTGGTATTTTTAACATGGGAGTCAATGAGGATTTGTTCGCTTCTGACACCAGCCCCTAGTGGATGAGGGTGGAACTGCAATTTATTTCACTTCCACGTTTGCCTCAATTTTATAACTCCGTTGTGGGGGCTTGGAAAATACACACACTTTCCCGCCCAAAATTTCTCAATTTACTACCTTAATGAGGACCTCCCTGAAAACTTCAGAGAAGCATTTAAACAGCCTCTGGAGGCTGTTAAAGCAAACAGACACACACTCAAACATACTCACACACACACACACACACGCACATGCACACACACATACACACACACACATACCTACACACACACACACACACACACACTCAAACATACTCCCACATACCTACACACACACACACACACGCACACATGCACACACATACACCAGACAAATCCAAACACACACACACACACACACACACACACACCCACACACACACACACACACACACACACACACACACACACACACACACACACACACACACACACACACACACACCCACACACCCACACACACACACACACACACACACACACTGTAACAGTTTCCGTGGCACAGATCCAGTTGTTATAAAGCAGCTTTATCCGAGCTGCTTTGGTCTTCATCTATTTAAAGTCACAGAAGTTTTCATAGGATGGTTTTTAATTTTGGTGTTTGAGTAAAACACTCAGGTCTGAGACTCCCAGCGCCTCCTTTACCAGAACAACAACATGCTATCATTCTGGCTCCAGCTGGTGGTTGTAGTGTTTCACTGGGAGGGGTGCTCATCCCTACCTGAGTGGGTAATGTCAGCTTTATGCTACTGATAGAAGAAAAGGTTTTTTTTTTGGTTGGGGTCTGGGGTGGTGGGTTGCTGTGCTGAGCGTTGGGCGGGGGAGCCTGCTCATCAGCACCCCAGCAGAAAGGGTCAAACTCTGGTTACCGGTGATGGTTGTACCCCATGTGCAGCAGTACCGGGACCAGAGTGAATAGGGTGTGTATGGGGAGCATGAGTGGGTGTCCGGCGTGCATTTTTGTAAGTCTTTGGTTGTATGTGCATGTGTGAGTATGAGGGAGGGAGTGTGTGACTGTGTTTGTGTATGACTGTATATGTCAGGTGGGGGCTTTGACTCCTCCCCTCTCCTGGGACTTCTCTTGATGATATAGATCTTCGTCTCCCCTCCCCCCTGTCACACCTGGTGGGGGTGTGGTGCCTTGGTCTGCCTGAGTGTTCGTGGCTCCCGGGTCAGGGAGTTTAAGATTTTTGGCATCTGCCTGATCAATCCCGGTGGCTGCCTGGTGGGGTCTGAGTCCCTGGGCTCTGCTGGGTCCCCGGCGGGGGTGGTCGCCCCTGGGTCCCGGGTCGCTGGGTCCTGGGCTCGGCCGGCTAGGGGGTGGGAGGTGGCGGGCGGGCCTGTGGGCTTGCCGCTGATATCTCCCGGGACTCTGCCGGCTGCTGGTTGTGGCCCCCCGGGGCGATCCTCTGTGCCTCTCGAGGGGGGCGGGGGCCTTCCTGGTTGCAGTCTCCTTGGGGTTCCTGTGTTCTGGGGCAGCGCCTGGATCTCTGGGACTTGGAGCTCCCTCCATCTCCTACACATCTTTGGGGGGCAGATCTATGGCCCCTCACACTCTCTATTGGACGCTCCTATAGAGAAACCTTACATAAACAAGCGCGTGTACACACACAGGTGCTCACATGGTGCTCTCAAAAGTATGGGCTTGGGCACGTTCAACACATGTCTTAAGGCTGTGGTTGGCACTACATGCACTGTGATTTATTTGTTGATTATATATTTCATCATCAGGTTGACTCAGTGATAGCTTGCTCCTGATGTATTGTTGTGTATCCCTTTTTTTTCTCTTTCTGCAGGTCTAGAAGCAGACTCTTGGTCATTATTGTTTATTTTTGTGGAAATACCCACCTTTTGTGTCTTCCTTTCTCTTTCACCTCTGTCTCCGTGTCTGGTCGGAATTACAAAGCATTCAAAAACAACAACAATAACAATAAAGTTTTAAGTATCAGGCGTGACATTAAAAGCAGAATCTTTGATGCTCCACCTGAGAGTAAATCTGTAAGGCTTGTCACCAGCATTCAGACATCAGTTCTGCTTGCTTCACAGCCAGACAGGACACGGTAAAAAAAATAAGTATTTTTTCCTTTAGAATAGGTTACAGATGTATTTACCAGTAACGCTGTAGTCATTAGCTTTATATTCACCTTTCATTACTGCAGTTAACCTTTATTTTCAGGCTGAATGGTCTTCCAGTTGAATAAAAACCTGTCTGTTTCTCACATTTGTGTTTTGTGTCATCTGCCTGCAGTGGTGATCATGTGTGCTGGAGCTGACCGGGTTCGAGAGATCATGCTAGCAGCACACAAACGACAGCTGACCAATGGAAGCTGTATGTTTTTTAATGTTGATCTCTTCAATGCTTCTTCTTATGGTGAGTAATCATCTCATTAACCTAACGTTATAATAAAAACACATTTATTATGTTTGTAGTCTCTTGGAATGAATGAATCTTGAAAAATCAATTATTAGTTTGCAGTTTAAAAATGTATTTGATGTTTTAAACATAACGGTGGAGTGATTTTACCAAATTATACAAATATTCCTTTAGCCCATAAAATCAAGTTTAAATGTAATGCTTTAAGCGAGAACTGTAGCTCATGTGGTAGAATAGGGAGCACCTTGACAGTGTAAACACAAACATATCATGTTGCATGATGCAGCAGGCATGTAGAGGGGGGCATGAGGTGTTAAAGTTAGCTGGGATGCATTAGAAACACACTTTCATACTCCCCTGTAAGCATTAAAGCTTACACTCAAAAGTCCCGATGTAGTCAGTTACTCTCCATAAATCTGTGTGACGTGTGTTATTCTGCTTCAGGCAACGGTTCGTGGCAGAGAGGAGATGAGTATGATGATGATGCGAGAAAGGCTTACTCTTCCCTGAACACAGTGACGCTGCTGAAGACGGTCAAGCCGGAGTACGAGAACTTTTCCGTGGAGATGAGGAAGTCCATGGAGAGAGTCGGGCTGTATGACTGCTCTGATTGTGGAAATGTATGAAGAACAATTTAATCTGCTTTTAGAACAGAATAGAATAAAAAAAATCCCTTTATTGTCCCTTAGTGTCAAATGTTGGTATCACAAATACATTTACAACAACAGGAGCAAAGAATAAACATGCAGAATAAAACGCTGTTCAGCGTACAGAATCATATACGTTAAACAGTAAAATACTTGGTAAAAAGAATGGCACAAAAACCCAGCAGAATACTTAAAGAGCAAGTCACCCCCAAATCAACCTTTTTGCTGATAAACTAAATAAATGAGTGTCTAATCGTGCTGCAGACACGTGTCGTCAATAATTCGTCACTTCAGTGCATCTTAGTTAAAATTTAAATATTCTGCCTAAAACTGGCAGTGCTGTGCCGTCGTCAGGTAAAAACTCAGCACTGTATTTGAATGTAAATCTGCCACCGCCATTGGCTAAGAGGTATGCTATGATGTAAACTGGTACATTATGATGTCACAATGCTGTCGTGAGCCTGAGAGTGTGTGTGTATTTGTTAGCAGCTCCGCCTTCTCGGTCTGCCAGGCAACAGCATGTGTTGCATTTTTCAAACATGACGTGGGAGTGGAGTTAGACTCTGGTAGGGGGTGACTTGCTCTTTAAAGAGAGGGACATCATGAATGCGAAAATGTGCATATCACATGATCTAAAAGAAAAAGTTTTTTTATTTAGTCATCCTATTTATTTTAGTTTTATATTTAATTTAGTCGACTAAATTAAAAGTAGGTGTGTCGACAGGACATGTAATCACACCTGTAGCGTTTGCCAGCTACTTGGGGGATCACACACACAGACCATGCTCCTCATTAGACTCAGAGCTACACGAACTCTTCACATCTGCTCTGTCCCTCCTCTTTTTCCTACGATGACGTCCCTGATAATCAGCCATAAGCCGATTAGTGATCACGGCTCGACGCGTGGTGGCCACCTACCATCCCGCCCCCTTCTGCACACCGCCACTATACCATCAAAACATTAAAAACTATGCTTCTTATTCCTTGGCTGCAAATCGCTCCAGCAAAAGCTGGAGATCACATCCTGATGAGTTGAACCTACCTGAAAATGGTGTTCAACATGGACAATCCATCATGAGCACAGAAGTCCAATAACACCAATTAAATTAAGATCGGGGGGCCATTCCTCCCAACCACACCACTCCAGGTCTCAATGTCATTGCCCACGTGTCCGTTAAAGCCCCCAAGGACGATGAGGGAGTCATAGGAAGAAGCGCCCTCGAGCACCCCCCCCAACAAACTCTATAAAGGGTGGGTAGTCTGAACTGCAGTTTGGTAAATAAGCACAAACCACAGTCAGGACCCACCCCCCCACCCCCCCACAGGTAGGCAGAGGGAGGCTGCCCTCTTGTTCACCAGGGTAAACCCCAACGTACAGGCACCAAGATGGGGGCCAACTGGTAGGCCCACCCCTGCTCGGTGCCTCTCAGTGGGAGCAACTCCAGAGTGGTAGAGTATCCAACCTCTCTCAAGTTCTGGAGTCAGACCCATGCGTTGAGGTGAGTCTAATGACGCTTACATATTAGCGTTGGCACGATCCGGGTTTAGTGGGGATGGATGGCCTGAGTTCGGTCTGGAACGGGCGGTGTAGTGTTCACATTTAAATCCGAGGGAGTTCTCAGGAATGCGGAAATCCCCGAGCCTGTGGGCGGCGTTTAATACGTGCGGGAAAGTCTGCGGTGTCCTCCAGTATAAGGTAAACAAAGGCGGGCATTAGCTGTGATGCTTTTGGAGGCTCTGAACCGTATTATTTTATCAATTTGCTGTGTCCTCATAATCTTGTGCCACACACACACTGCTTTCTCTCCTGAGCGGCTGTCAGCTCGCCGGGGCAAGAGCTCCAGTGCAGAGGAAAGGCGCACACACTCACAGAGCTCACTCTGCTCTCCTGTTCCCACTGAGCGGCAGCTCCGTGCTACTGAGACGTTTACTCAACAGCATCCAGCATGAAAATGAATCGCCCCCTAAATACTTGACAGGTGACATTCCACGTGCTAAGCGACAGCTTCTGTGGCAAGGATCAGACCGCCAAATTCCCCCCTTCGGCTACCACCCGTCAAACAATGCACCCGACCCCTTTGACCCCTCCCATGAGTGGTGAGCCCCTGGGAAGTATAAACAAGATCAAATGTGTTGAAAATGCTCATTAGACCTTTGTAATACATGAACAACCTGCTGTTTGGATTTCACCTGCTGTAGAAGCTAAAACCCAAGCGTGGCAATGACAGACGTTATTTCATGCTTTTGTAGCTTTAAAGGGACTTTACGGAGTTTTGAATTTTTATGCTCGTGATTGCCCCCTCAGGCCAAAAGTGTAATGGCAGCTTCAATAGTAGGCTCGTGCACGAGGCGCACATGCTGTACGTGCACACTCCTTAACAAAAATAACAGCTGAGACAGTTCCGTGTGTGTGTGTGTGTGTGTGTGTGTGTGTGTGTGTGTGTGTGTGTGTGTGTGTGTGTGTGTGTGTGTGTGTGTGTGTGTGTGTGTGTGTGTGTGTGTGTGGCCCGGAGGACAGAGGACAGGAGAACGTGCAGCTAATTAATTAAATAATGTGGTTCTGTAGCTTTCTCTTCAGCACAGCGACAAAGGTTTATGATGGGTCAGTCCTCCTGCATGCTCAGATCATTCCCTTCCCTTGCTTGAAAAATTGTTCCAAAATGAAAGTTGAACCCACATCTTTTTTATCTGTGAATTCAATGCCGTTCAGAGAGTCTCAAATAAAAATTTGGGCGTCTTACTGTAAAAAAATATACCATTAATGTAAAAAATAAACTCTAAATAAACTATGTTCACATCCAGAATCGAAGCTGGGTCTTCTGCATGAGAGTCAGACATCTTACTAGGCGAGCCAAAGTGCCAGTAATGTTCAAAGCATTTGTAACGTTTATATCCTTGATGACAGCTGAAACAACGTCAAACCAAAGAACGGTTCGGAGTGAAAATGCCTATTTTGTTGCTAATTAGCAGGAAATATCTAGAAGAAAGTTCTACAGAAAGTAGCTAAGGGTCCTCAGAAATGTAGCTAGCTTTGTCACTAGGCGTTAGGAACTGCGACAAAGTGGCACTGCCTCTCTCTCTGCTGCTAAAGCTACGGATAGCAAATGCTACGGGCGATGCCTGAGCGTGAACGCGCATGAAGCAGCCTGCTCGACCCGAGCATCTCTCTTTTTCTGTGATTTTACACAAAAACAGTCAGTCACAGTAAAAATGCCAGGGCTCATTCTACAGGACCAGGGCTTTGCAGGAGAATGTATGAAGAAGACATTTATTATTCCTATACATGTTTTGGCTGTCAAACTTCCATAATGCCCCTTTAATGAAACATGTTTTTTTTCTGTAGTTTGGTGGTGGAAAATGGAAAACTTTGAAAAAAAAACTGCTTGTACATGGAAAGTAGCTCATAAAAGTTCTCAAAAGTTCTGTATGAATGAAAACTGCATGAAATTCATTAAGCTGGCTTGTTTTGCAGAACTGCCATTGTAGTTTTAACAGTCATCCTAACAAATATTTCGAGTATGTACACACACAATCTGAACATGTTGTCTAATAATGTCAGGATACTGAGAATATCAAAGGCAGTGAATGCAGGGCTTGCATTTAGTTTTATATTACATGCAATTAGTTCCTTTTTCAATCAGTGCCCTGGGTACAATAATATGCTCCAGTGTTTGTGAAAACACCTTGTACAGTCGGATATTAATGACGTGTTTTAAAGGTGTGGTTCACTCATTTATTCAATACATTTGCAGTGTTCTCTATTGTAAATCACTGCCTTATGAGTCATAATAAAGCTACTGTATGGTGCTCCTGTTCTGAGATGCAGAAGTTTACTAGTGCAATAGGGGGCTGAAAAAAGCATGATTGCTCATTATTATTATTAATGATATGCACACACCTTGCTTCTGATTGGCTAACAAAATGCATTCAGCCATGTTGCAAAGTCACTATCACCAACACACTCTCTGCTCTCTCTCCTCGCTGAAACATTTGTTTTAAACTCTTCCTTAGCACGAGCCAAGACGGGTGAGGCCATGAATGCAAATTTTCAAATTCTAGCGTTTTTTTTATCTATTTTCTATCAGAAACTAAAGCAGGAGGTAAGTGTAGGAGACTGTGTTCATGTTCAGCCTGCATGAAAAACTCAAGAGTGACCGATTAGAATCAGAAATAATCATTAAAAATATATTTTTTTCAGTCAACCACTTAATATTTTCCTACAAAACACATGATAACTGACATGCCTCTTCTCTTAACTTGCCAAAAGAAAAATATCTTCCTCAAAGCCACAAAATGCAGACTGTTTGTGGACAATTGGCTCTGATTCTCTGACACAGACTTTTTTTTTTTCAATAATCCATCGGAGATCATCTCTGGTCTCTGCAGCAGCTGCCTGCAGGAGCGCTTCTTCCGAGCCTTTTAATTAATCGGCGCACGATGTGCAGCTCACCTGAAGCTTTAACAAGCTGTATAAAAACACAACGTCATTTCTTAATATTGTTATTTTTTGTGCTGAACTAAAACACCAAACAGAATGACATTTGGTCTGGACAGCAGTTGCTTTGAGTAGTTCAACAAACTGCTGAAATAAAACCAAGGGGCCATTATGGTCTATTTTTTTTAGCCAAGAAGCTAAAATTGCAGTTCCACCCTCATCCACTAGGGGCTGGCAGCTGAAGCGAGCAAATCCTCATTGACTGCCATGTTAAAAATGAAAATTTCACAGCAGAAATAAACATGTTTACAGCCTGGTCCAAAAACATTTTAGGTTTTATAGATCTAGTTTACACTCATGAAAACTCTGAGGGGGTGAATTTTTTTGTAACTCTTCTGTTTAAGTGTGTTAAAAGCCTAAAATTCTGACAAATTAATGAGCATCAGACCCACGTGACTTCAGAGCTAGCTCCAGCTCACCTTAACAGATGCTCGGCCATTTCAACTCTAAATTTTAGTTGGCTGCTGGCTGAATAAGACACTTTTTCTGATGCCTGTCTTCTTTCTCCTGCCTGAGAAGAGTTGCTAGAGCAGGGGGCTGGCTTTTCCCGTTTTCTGGGGCAGCCGACGCGGACACCGGCTCCCATGCAAGGCGTCATTTGTAATAATTTCAAATAAAATCTCATAATTTTCTTATAAATTCTGTTGGTTCATTTTCTATGTTTAATGCTCATTTTCTGAATTTGGCAGAACATTTCCATTGATGTTTCTTTTAAAAATCATTCCCACAGAGTTTTGTCACAATAAAGAGCAGGGGTCACTACAAACCCATTTTTAAATTGCTATACATCTGAAGCCCATGAGGACATTGTCCTCCGTTGATCAAAACTGTCCTGTGTGAGGACACCCCCCCCCCCCCCCTCACCCCCAGACACACACACACACACTGCCCACATACACACACACCCAGACACACACATATATTTTTGGGGACTCCACTATGGCTAATCCCATACCCATACCCTAACCAATGCTGTTCTAGTCCTAGCCCTTACCTAAACTAACATAAACCAAAAGTTAGTTCATGCCAAACATCTAAAACCACATTTAAGGGTAGTTTGACTTTGTGTGGACCAGCCAGATGTGCCCACTACAGGTTAAAAGTTAAAATATGTCCACTTAAGCATATAAACTGTGTGCAACTGGACTCAGCCCTAAAATTCGACGCGCAAATCAACCAGGTTGTGCGACTGTGTTTTTTTAACTTACGCCAACTAGCCAGAATTAAGTCCCTGCTGTCCAGAGTGCATCTAGAGCAGGGGTGTCAAACTCATTTTAGCTCAGGGGCCACATTGAGGGAAATCTAGTCCCAAGTGGGCCGGACCGGTAAATAAAAAAAAACAAAAAACAGATTGTTTATTTTGTTTTAATACAATCAATATGAAACAAGGCTGGAGCCTGAGGACAGTGTAGTACAAGTACAACACCTGAAGTGTACTTGAACATTTGAAAACAATAAAAAATCAATAAATAAAAAACATTCCTTAGTGATTCAAAGAGCTTACAGATCACATGGCTAGATCAGTTCCATGCAGCACTTAAAGTGTATTTGACTCATTTTACTTTACATCTTTTAGCTTTCACCAGCACATCAACATCAGAAGTCACATCCTGAGTGGCGGCCAACTTCAGGATGAGATTCAAGTTCTTGTGTGAGCCTTGAGCGCAGCTTTGTTTTATTTATACTCATTACAGAGAAAACTTGCTCACAATGATACGTTTATTTTCACTCTACATTGTAAAGTATGAAAATAAAGTTTTCACAACCATCTCGCGGGCCGGAGTTAACCCTCTTGCGGGCCGCATGTTTGACACCCCTGATCTAGAGACTGTCACACACTCTTTTGTTCTTTCAAGGCTCGACTACTGCAATGCACCGTATGCCGGCCTTAGTCAGGGTGCGGTAGCACGCTTGCAGTTAGTTCAAAACTCAGCCGCTAGGTTCGTGACAGGCACTAGGCGCAGGGAACATATCACCCCTGTGTTGGCATCCCTTCATTGGCGGCCTGTACAATACAGGGCAAAATTCAAGGTCTTGGCGCTGGCATACAGGGCCTTACACGGAACGGCTCCAGCATATGTTGGAAACCTTTTGCATAGACATGCCCCCACGCGGGCCCTTCGCTCAGCCGGCAGGGAGCTGTTGATCTTTCCACGCACTAAGTACAGGTCACGGGGGGACCGTGCGTTCTCTGTGTTGGCGCCTGCACTTTGGAACCAGTTGCCTTTTGTGGTGCGTCAGTCACCCTCATTGGGGGTTTTTAAGACTCGCCTTAAGACCCATTTTTTTGTCAAGGCTTTTCAGGATTAGCAAATTTTACCCAGTTTCGATGCCCCGGCCCCTTAATCTTTTTCTGGATTTTATTTTTTGCTTTTACTCTGCTCCTTTAATTGATTTTATGTTGGTTTTACGATTGTTATGTTTTCTTCGGATGGTTTCATGTTTTTATTGTGTTGTTTTCAGCACCTTGGGCGTCTGCATTGGTCGCAGAAGGGGCTTTATAAATAAATGAAATGAAATATAAAGACTGATAACTTGTTACATTATTATTTTTGACCCATTTTTAAACTTGGTTTAGTTGATTGGGTATAAATTCTGTCTTCATCTAATGAGCTCTTCAGAAAGTACTGAATGGCATGACCTTCTGTTTATGTTCGACATCAGGTGAACATGTTCCTTGAGGGGTTTCATGACGCCATGTTGCTGTACGCCATTGCTCTACACGAGGCCTTGAAGAACGGATACAACAAGAAGAATGGGACAGAAATCACCTCACACATGTGGAACAGAACCTTTGAAGGTACATGAAACCATTCACACTGCTGCCATCATCGTAATGGTTAAAGGTTGTGCAGATTCATTACAAGTAACATATTTAGGTACTAATATGTATATAGATCGTCGTCGTCGTCGTCGTCTTCCTCCGCTTATCCGGGTCCGGGTCGCGGGGGCAGCATCCCAACAAGGGAGCTCCAGGCCGTCCTCTCCCCGGCCTTGTCCACCAGCTCCTCCGGCAGGACCCCAAGGCGTTCCCGGACCAGATTGGAGATGTAACCTCTCCAACGTGTCCTGGGTCGACCCGGGGGCCTTCTGCCGGCAGGACATGCCTGAAACACCTCCCCGGGGAGGCGTCCAGGAGGCATCCTGACCAGATGCCCAAACCACCTCAACTGGCTCCTTTCGATCCGGAGGAGCAGCGGTTCTACTCCGAGTCCCTCCCGAATGTCCGAGCTCCTCACCCTATCTCTAAGGCTGAGCCCGGCCACCCTACGGAGGAAACTCATTTCGGCCGCTTGTATCCGCGATCTCGTTCTTTCGGTCATTACCCAAAGCTCATGACCATAGGTGAGGATTGGGACGTAGATCGACCGGTAAATCGAGAGCCTGGCTTTCTGGCTCAGCTCCCTCTTCCCCACGACAGATCGGCTCAGCGTCCGCATCACTGCAGACGCCGAACCAATCCGCCTGTCGATCTCCCGATCCCTCCTACCCTCACTCGTGAACAAGTCCCCGAGATACTTAAACTCCTCCACTTGAGGTAGGACCTCTCTCCCGACCCGGAGTTGGCAAGCCACCCTTTTCCGGTCGAGAACCATGGTCTCAGATTTGGAGGTGCTGATCCTCATCCCAGCCGCTTCACATTCGGCCGCGAACCTACCCAGCAAGAGCTGAAGGTCAGAGCTGGATGAAGCTAGGAGGACCACATCATCCGCAAAAAGCAGAGACGAGATTCTCCTGCCACCAAACTCGACACACTCCACACCACGGCTGCGCCTAGAAATTCTGTCCATAAAAGTGATGAACAGAACCGGTGACAAAGGACAGCCCTGGCGGAGTCCAACCCTCACTGGGAACAGGTCCGACTTACTACCGGCTATGCGGACCAAACTCACGCTCCTCTGGTAAAGGGACTGAATGGCCCTTAACAGAAAGCCACCCACCCCATCCTCCTAGAGCGTCCCCCACAGGGTGCCCCTGGGGACACGGTCATAAGCCTTCTCCAAATCCACAAAGCACATGTGGATTGGTTGGGCAAAGTCAGAACTCTACAATATGAGGGCCTATTAGGGCAGGAAGGAAGTTTTACTAGGATAAAGGCAAAATGTTCAGAAACATGAGAATTGAAGCAGAAAGTAAGTGAAATTGGCCGAGTTGCTGAACCAGATTGTATTATGTAACCGTTCTTCCATGCAGATCTTCTCTAGAGCTTTGATGTTTTGGGGCTGGTGCTGGGCAACACAAACATTCAACTCCCTACATCAGTGGTCCTCAAATGGCGGCCCGCAGGCCCTCTTTTTGTGGCCCCCAAACCCTGCGCGAACCCCCCCCACCCCCACCTCTGACGGCCGACCGGGAGGTGTAGGATAGATAGAGCTGAGGAAAATAATCAATGCATGAGATGCGAGCATAAAAGATTCTGCATCATAGAAGAGTACCATGATGAATTATAGTGGAATGTAGTTTTGTTATTTTAACGGCGGCACCAGCGCAGCATCCACATCTGTCAGAGCGGTGTCCTCCACATTTACCGGGTGGGAAACGTTGGTCTTTCTTTATGTGGTGCTGCAGGGCTGAGCGCTGGAGTTATAACCTGAAACCGAGCCCGAACCGAATCAGCCCGATCGGTTCTGTTGGATTTGGGCCGTGAATTATGTTAATTGAGCGGGTTGTCACGCGGTGCGCTCCGCTCGCTCGATCAGCGACTGAGAGAGGGGGGGGGGGGATAGTCTGCTCACACAAGAGAGAGGATCGGAGGACGCTGCTCCAAACATGCATTATTATTTCTATAATTTCATCATTATTTCTTCTGGAAGCGCTCAGTCAGACCGAGTGCTGTGATGTTGGGAGATCCGGTCTTGGGAAGGGGGCGGGGTCAGTGACGGCGGCTGCAGCGTGATAATCTCTCTTTTATTGAGGGACACGGAGAAGTTACAAGGAGAGAGAAATAGAAGATAGAAGTTCTTGTTCCACTTTATTCTTTTGTTTCATGAAGATAAACTGATGTTAAATTCAGCTTAAAGAGAAGCTGGGAGGAATTAGCTTTGGTTCATTTTAGGTTACAGGAGGTCTGTCTCCTATCTGCTCCTCCAGAGACAGCATGGACATGAGGGTCACATGGTGAGGGTCACACAGGACAGGTTAGTGCAGTCCCACAGCCGAGCTGGAGGGGGACAGGTGTTGTCCTGCTTTATATTGCGAGCTTGTGTGATATGTGCATTACAGCCAGCGAACAGCAGCACCCTCCCCCCCACCCCCACCCCACCCTCCCACCCCCGTCTGGCCCTCTTGCTTCTGGGTCTTTTTTGTGAGTGGCCCTCGGACCATTATAATTGAGGAGCCCTGCCCTACACAGATTCTCTATTGGATTGAGGACTAGCTAAGCCACCCTAGAACCGTGAAATGCCTTTTACATAGCCACTCCTTGGTGCCTGGGTGGTGTGTTTGGGATCATTGTCCTGCTGGAAGATCCAGCCACGTTTCATCTTCGGTTCTCTCACTGATGGAAGGAGACTTTTGTCAAAGTCTCACCACACATGGCCCATTGATATTTTCCTTAATACAGATCAGTTGTCCTCTCCCCGTTGCAGAAAAGCAGCCCTAAAGCCTGATGAGGTGCTGCAGGAATAGAATCCATGACAATGTAGTGTGTAACTAATGGAGCAAGACAACAAACAGTTTTTATAAAATAAAAATAAATCACAAGGCACTTCAAAAGAAAAAACATAATTGTTTTTTAAATGATCATTGTGAAAATGAGTGTAAAATACCTCCATATGTCCAGAGTTAAAACTGACTTTTTGAAAGTGACTCTTTGTAGTGTAACCTGTCAGGTGTTAGAGAAAATGTACCCTTTATGAGTTAGTATTACTCTGTACTTAAGTGTTGATTAAACTTTCTCCAAAACAGTGTAAAAAGTACTCTGGTAAGCTCTGCATTCTTACTCTGCTTCTTCAGCTGCAGTGGGCAAGGTGCATCATGGGTAGTCAAGTTTTTAGTTTGTTTGTTGTTTTGGGGTGTTTGTGCATGTTTATTCTGGGGGGGGTTATGTTGGTCTTAGTTATTACTTTGTCCACGGTTGCTTACGAGGACACTGTCCTTGCTTGGTCAAAGAAAACGGGTAAATGGAACAGACGCATCACATGACCGTGGCTTCCACGGTGGTCACATAACGTCACGTGACACGGGTGTCATGACTGGGGGAAGGCGTTTAACCCAAGACATGCAGAATCAGCACGGGAGTCAGAAGGTAATAAATTAAAGTATTTTATTCACAAACGAGAACTAACAGAGCACTGGAAAACCAGTGAGTAATGCCGTGGGCGATAAGTCCAAAGTTCTAGCTCAGCGAGCCGTGGGGTAGTGGGGAGCAGAGGTGGATGAGAGTGGAGACCCAGCCGGGCGTGAGGTGAGGCAGCAGAGAGGGGAGATCCAGGAACCAAGGAGGAGGATGGGACGTGGAATGAAGATCCGTAGTTCTTTAGCTGAATAGTGAAGGTGTGGTGAAAATCCTAGGAGGGCAAACAGAACCGGGTTTCAGGAGCAAGTTCAAAATCGTAATCCAAATAACTGTCTAAGGTGAAAAATCCAAATAATCCAACACTCGAGAGCAAACTACTAGGAGCAAATGAATACAAGTGGCAGGCGTTACCATAACTGAAGTAATCATCCGGCTTCGAGTGGTGTCTCCATCCTCCTTTTAAACCTGAGCTCCAAATGATTAACTCTGCACAGCTGGTGCCCCTCCCCTCCTCACCTGTGGAACACAGAACCCCAAAGATAGTTAATTGAGGAGGAGGACTCACCTCGACCCGAGAACGATGACAATACCCCCCTCTCAACGGGCGCCTACTGGCGCCCCAGCGGTGGTCCTAGAGGCCTCAAAGTCAGAGATGAGGGAGGGGTCCTCAATGAACGCTCCTCCGGGCCATACCCCTCCCAGTCCACCAGGTATTGTACTCCCCGACCCCGAGGACGAGAGTCGAGTATCCGCCGAACCTGGTAGACCAGACCTCCCTTGTAGTACCGAGCAGGCGGAGGCGGGTCCGGGGTCGGACAGAGAGGACTGGTGGCCACTGGTTTGATCAAGGACACATGAAAAATCAGATGAATCCTGAGGGATCGCGGAAGGTCCAGACGAACGGTCACAGGACTGGGTATTGCCACAATCTTAAAAGGACCTAGGAACCCGGGAGCAAATTTCTTGGATGTGGCCTTAAGAGGTACATCCCTGGAGGACAGCCAGACCATCTGTCCAGGAGTGTAGACTAGTGCCGGCCGGCGATGACGATCCGCCAACTGCTGGTTCCGTTCAGCAGTGCATAGAATTGCAGCCCTAGTAGCCGTCCAAGCTCGACGTGCCCGGCTGAGAAACTGTGGTGTAGTGATGGTGGAGTCTGACCGGAGAGGAAACAGAGAGGGTTGGTAGCCAAGAGAAGCTTCGAAGGGAGACTGACCTGTGGCTGTGGAGACATGGCTGTTGTGGGTATACTCCATCCAGGCCAGGTGGTCGCTCCAAGAGGTGGGGTTGGTAGCACATACACAACGTAGCATAGCTCCCAGCTCCTGATTCATGCGTTCGCACTGTCCTTTGGTATGCAGGTGAAATCTGGAGGTCAATGCTACACGGGCACCCAAGGCGTTGGCCAATTCCTTGCAGACCTTGGAAATGAACTGGGGACCACGGTCAGAGAGGATCTCCTCGGGAATCCCATGTAGATGAAACACGTGTTTGATCGGGAGCTGGGCAGTGACGGCAGAAGATGGGAGAGATTTCAGAGGTACAAGGTGGCAAGCCTTGGA